AATACAAGGATTCGCTGGGTCAAGGCACAGCCATACCGGACCTCCCCGAGATGAAGCGGGTCAAAGAGAATCAGAAGCACATCAGCTCGGTAGTGGAAGCTCCACAGGGTTTACTTGAGAGTGGCTCTGATCCCATTAACGCTTCCAGTATACTTCTTAATTTCCAACTTATACAATCCCATCATTGATGCGAAATAATTGAAGCATATGAAATGTAATGCTTAAACCCCATTTTCATCTAATATAATTGACCACATCATATTCCACCCTAGTGAGGTCCCCTTTCTGCTGTGAATTCAAATTTATGGGATTATTCAACTCCAGACATTGTTGCTAATCCAACACCAGATGAGCTCTTGTATCCCACATTTGTTGTTTTCCCTTCCCAACCAGGTTCCTATTTTTAAATCTGGGATATAAGCTCATTGTGCGTTGTGTGTGATGTTTGATGTGACTGCTCTCCAAAGACTCTTGCGTCCGTCATAGTGTTCAGTGTCTGACTGGCCTTTGGGGGGGCGCTGTTCTTTTCTGCTCTAGGTCTTGTATAAGGACCTTTCTGTGAAGGGAACGCCTGTGGTGTTCACACCAGAGATGGAGAGGGTCAAACGGAACCAATTGCAGATTAGCTCGGTACTTACAGCCACAGGACATGTGTGTGTGTGTGTGTGAGACGTGTAAATGTAACCACTCTTAATACCTTCATTTCACTTAGGAGGCTAATAATATTAACTGTACTCTTCCATATGCTGAATTTCATTCTGTAACTGATCATCATCACTACAAACCTTCATCTCAGGACCCATCTACCTTTAATCCAGCCCTCTGAAGATCCCTCTAATTCATCTGTCTGAAATCACAATAACACCTTGGGTTGTGTTGATGGATGTTATATTCATGTCTTTTGTCTGTCTAATGTCCTAATTTCCTGGCGTGTCTTCCACAGGGTCTTGACACATAATCATAATCCAGAATGATGTGGTTTCTAATATATGTATGTGCTGTGTTGTCTTTTGTCCAGGTTCTGTACTCGGACAGCTTCCGTAAGCAGGTGCAGGGTAAGGCCGCATTTGTGCTGGACACCCCTGAGATGAGACGTGTTAAAGAAACTCAGCGTATCATCTCTGGAGTAAGATGACTTTTAAATCTTGACCTTTAGCAGTATATTGCAAGGAAATAATTTTTCTGTATTTTATGAAGGTCAACCTGTTGCATTCAAAAATGTTTGGGAGTTGAATGTCACAGTGCGATTTTCTGTGAAATCTGTCAAATCTGACAGCCCTGAATTCTGCAGACTGGCTCCTTCAGACGGCAAATCGGGATAAAAGTCTTGTCGTTTATTTAAGTCTTAAAGTCACCATGAAATCAAACTTGACTATTCTTATTTTTTTATGGAATATTGCAGAGCCTATTATAAATGATTTATCTGTACACATAATTTTTTTTTAACTCGTGCTCTCTAATCTTTAATCCAAAACATCAGCTTCTTCTTGCCTTAGTAACGACATCTCTTCTCTGATGACAGGACAATAATCTGTCCTCTCCAGCAACCTGTCACCCACACGAGATCATAGCCAATTCCCAATGCACAAAATCAGTTTTATTTCACTTGGATATATGTCCAAAAGGGAAGACAATCTCAACTTCCATTTCGTGTCCACTTTGAACCTATTAAAAGCGTAGCAGTTTCTTTGTCTCCTGCCTCATGTTTTGCTGTCTGTTCTTCTCAGGTCAGATACCACCAGGACTTTGAGAAGAGCAAGGGCAGCTTCACCCCCACCATCTCTGACCCCGTCACTGAGCGCGTGAAGAGGAACACCCAGGACTTCAGTGACATCAGCTACCGCGGCATCCAGAGACGTGTGGTGGAGATGGAGAGGAGACGTGCAGAGGAGCACGATCAGGAGACCACCACTGGTCAGCTGACACATACTGTGTCCTGTACACACTAAACACACTTCCTATAAATATAGAAAAATATGACGCTTATGATATGTAAAGAATGATATACAGATCATACACAGGAATCAAGTGATTTTTGAATAGAAACATTCAATAAAACTGGGTTTCCGTTTTCTCAAAGACCTGCGTGTGTGGCGCACAAACCCCGGCTCTGTCTTTGACTATGACCCTGCTGAGGACAACATACAGTCCAGAAGTCTTCACATGATGTCAGGTAGGCCACTCCTCTGCTGTCACTGGACTTAAAAGGCCTTATTAGAACAGTTCTCTGGCTGACTATACTGTGGATGTATACTTATCTGCCACCTTCCTTGATTGAAGACAGTCTATCAAAGAGGAGGTAACGTTGACATGTTTGTCCCATTGTTCAGTCCAAGCCCAGCGCCGCAGTAAGGAGCACTCCCGCTCCACCAGCGCAATGAGTGGTGTGGGCGATGAGAAGTCAGAGATGTCTGAGAATGTGGACCACCACGCATCCCTCTACAGCAATGGCTTTGGTGTCTCTGCTTTACACGGTACATGTTTAAAGTGCTTGGTTTGTCTTCACCCTAGGTTTAGCTTGATAGTCGGCAATTTATTTTCTGAATGCATGTCAATGACCTTTTTGTAAATTATTCATCCATGTGTTTCATTTTTAAAACTTTTTTTTTTGTAATTTTTCATTCAAATGTTGTTACTGGATCTTTCAGTGAAACGCTAGACTCTCTGGTGACATATGCTAGACTTTTTCAGTTATTAGATCCACTTAAACGCCACCCCTTTTTTGCAAGCTTGCATTCATTACTGAGTGAAATGCCCACATCTTAAAATCCAATCAACATCCGACGGGTAGAACCAAGTCCACATCCTACATTTTTTTTCTTTTTCAATAATTCATTTCATTCAGATGTGTTGCAATATGGAAGAGAAAGAATCTGTCAGTACTTCAGTTTCATCGCAACATTAAAGATGGACAAAAATAGATTAACAAATATTGAATAATTCAGCTTGTTTTATAAGTGGAATGTAAATCTGTTAATCTGTATTACGAATGACCGGAAACTGCTTATAGGAAGTTAAAAAGGGCAAAATCTGAATGCTAACTAGTGCCAGAGAAATATGTAACTTTATATCTGTGCTGTTTTGTCATATAGGTTACTCACAGACCAAGACTATTGAGGTTCAGCAGAGATCCTCCTCTGTGGCAACACAACAGACCACTGTTTCTTCTGTCCCCTCGCATCCTTCAACCACTGGAGTAAGTACTGAGAGACCACTGCCAATTTCAATATCATAGTAGTATAATATGCTAATATCATATGTGTATGCATGTGCTCTACATACAATATCTTAGTCCAAATAGTAACGGCATATTCACTGTTTATTTGATGGTAAAGTTGGTTAATATTGTTTTCTTTGTCTTCAACAGAAAACTGTCCGTGCCATGTATGACTACTCTGCTGCAGACAATGATGAGGTGTCCTTCAAGGACAGTGACGTCATTGTGAACGTGCAGTCCATCGATGAGGGTTGGATGTATGGCACTGTGCAGCGTACTGGAAAGACCGGTATGCTGCCCGCCAACTATGTGGAAGCCATCTGAATACAACTACTGTCCTCTCAAACACCCTGTGGAGGAAGGAGTTTGATATCCACTCAGACGGAAAAAAAACTATTTAACGTGTACTAATGTTAGTCAAAGTAGTTATGCTGCTGTTTGTCCTCATTACTATTAGGAAATTTAGTTTGTGCCCATGTCACAAAGTCGGTTGTGGTTGTGGCATGAGAAACTGACAAATTATACATACCTATTTAAGTCACAGACAATTGTATTTATCTTTGTTGTTCTGTTCTAGCAGTTAAGTAACTGGAGCCCATTATTTTTGTATATTGCAATCACACTCCATTCAAAGTTTTAACGTTGAAACATTTGCAGAACGAGAGATGGGCTCATGGTTCACTTTATACGTGAAAAGGAAAACCAGAAATTGTGTTTTATAAAAACTGAACAGAGGCACTAAGGTTGCCACATGAAAATGAAAAAGGAAAAAAAACTTGAAAATGTTGAGGACAGGCCACCAGTTCCTCTAAAGTGAAAATGCCTTGATGTTAAAAACACGCCTCCTCCCTCCCTTGCTGAAGGCTGGCCATTATTTGCATGTTTTGTTTCTTTGATTCTGTAGGTGTGGGGTTAGAAGATGTATACCTTGAATCAGTAGCTAATAAAGCACACCACGCTTCTGCTGTCAATCTGTTTTCTGTCATGGATTTGAAGTTGTTTTCTTAATTGATCAACAGTTTCTTAATGAGACAATTCACCCAAAAATTAAAATTGTGTCACTTACTCACCCTCATGTCATTCCAAACCTCTATGACTTTCATCTCTCAAACAAAATCATTTTTATCTGTCCATCGAGTCACCTTGACCAAAAACTTAAGGAAATATAAAAATACAATAAAAGTCAATGAAGCATTAAACACATTTAGGCTTCCGTTTATCATATCTGAAACACTCCATGTGCATTGATTTGTCGCTTATATATGAATAAAAGCCTGAATTAAATATTTATCACAAAGCGATCATGTCTCTTCAGAAGACTTTTTAAACAACTCAATTCATGTGGATTACTTTTACAATGCCTTTTTGTATTTTTTTGAAACAATTTTTTAATTTTAATAAATACAATTTAAATTTCGCACTTTAATGCCCTTTGAATGGAACATTTACACTCCCTTTGAACTGGAATCATGGTGGACTATCCTGTGACGTCCACTTCGCAGGGCACTTACAGTTGAATAGAACAAACGTTTGAAGTGGTAAGAGAAACATACAAAATGCGCAGAGCAGTGGTATGTGAGGACTGGAATTGAGAACCACTGAACGAATACATTTAATGTTAACAAATGTTAATAAAACCTTAAAAATATTGTAAAGTGTTAATAATCTTTTGCAGCAATAAAAAAAGCCATCTATGTATTTGTAATTTGGTGGTTTGTTCAAAGATCCATTGAAAAAAAAAAAATGCCCCAAACAACAAAGAAAACCGGGATAAATGAAATTGTATTAATACTATAATTTTATTTAAAAAAAAAAAAAAAGTTTCCTTGGCATCTCAGCACAATTTTACAGTCTTAAAAAGCACTCCATAAAATACACCGACACTTAAGTAGCAATGGAAAGTCTATTCTCTGAAAGAGCATAATTAGAAATTCATCTACTCTAAAATTCAAGCTAAAACTTGAGAAATGAGCAGTCCACTGTTTATCTTCAAGTTAAAAGTGAATTCTGATATCAGGAAAATGTCTCAATGTCCTCATGGCAAGCTATCATCAAGATTACTCAGCAAGCGGGACTGCATATGGGTCACAATGCTTCTCATCATTCCACTCAGATGTTCGTGCATCAGGCCCAGCTGGTTGGGTGAACAGCGACCAAGTTCCTCTGAAGTTAGGCATCCACTAAGGGCTACAACATCTGATAGCAAATCACAAGATTTGTTCTCCTCAGCCATCAGTTCTGAATCTACACTCACCTCTGATGGTTTGTCATCTGCAAAAAGTTGGGAGTCACGAGTTATGCTGAATGTGTCACCAATGATGGATTTGACAGAAGGAAAAAAAAAAATTGCTTACCTTGAGCCTCTCCTGGTGTTTGCTCCTCATCTTGGTTTTGAGGAAGCTCCATCTCTTCAGGCTCAGATGTCATTTTCTCCATTTCGTCAAAACTCTTCAGGTCATCCGAACGCCCTTTTCTCTGTATGGCCAAATGTGAAGTGTAAGAATGATCTCCCATAATAAAGGCGAAGATACTAATGTAAAGACGATGCACAATACCTGTTGGTCATGATAGGTTTTAAGTGCTTTCCTCACATTGGACAGCTTAGGTGAACGAATAGGAAGAGACTTGATTTCACTTGGGGTAAGGGCACTCAGGTCTCCAACCGTTTTAATGTTTCTAGCTCTAACGAGCTGGCCAAAGCCACGAGGCCTAAATACACAATGGAATAAAAACGCATACCAATTAATTACATTCTTAACATTAACACCCCAGAAAACAACCTTCAGATCGGTGTTGAAATCAATTTATGAGAAGAAATAACTTGTACGGTTTGGGTGAAGAAGAAATGGTATGTGTGTGCTACCATTGAGAGATCTCAGCTGCACCATTCAATCAATACTTAAATGTATTTGGAGTTCACAAGGTCAGAACATTTTTAGAGGATTTAAATTAAAACTGAGGAATGAATTTAATGAACTGAACCCAAGCTGTACTGCAGGGGAAATGGGTGATCTGGCTTACCACATGTTGGAGGATATCTGTGGTAACACAGCCTCTATAGGGGTAGAGCAGCCAACGAGTGCTGGATAAACACAATCTTTAGCAATAGGACGTGGCTCCTGGCTCATTTCGGAAATCTATGATGTATAAAGAGGAACATTTTAACACCATTTGCACTTGGAGCTACTGTTCAAATAAACTAAAGTCTGATGAAACTGAATAACATGAACAGTATTGAACATTAACAACTTTAGCAGTCTTAAAGCAGCACTATGTAACTTTTTCTCTGTTAAAAATTTGCAAAATGTATATAATGAGCGAGTACATGAATTCATCTTCCAAACCGCGTTTTTGTCTTATTCCGAATCACTACGGTACACTTATAATAAGTACTTATATTTGGACTATTGTAGCCTGGTCGAGTCGTCACCGCTGCGGAGTAACACATACCTGCGTGAATCGCCATAGACAAACTTATGGCGCTTTTCCACTGCGTGGTATGACTCGGCGCAGCGCGGCGCGGCACGGCTCGGTTTGCGTTTCCACTGCAGTTTAGTATCGCTTTAGAATGGGCGGGATTATTCACATGTCGTTATAGTTGCGCTGCCTACTCCATGTGCATTGATTTGTCGCTTATATATGAATAAAAGCCTGAATTAAATATTTATCACAAAGCGATCATGTCTCTTCAGAAGACTTTTTAAACAACTCAATTCATGTGGATTACTTTTACAATGCCTTTTTGTATTTTTTTGAAACAATTTTTTAATTTTAATAAATACAATTTAAATTTCGCACTTTAATGCCCTTTGAATGGAACATTTACACTCCCTTTGAACTGGAATCATGGTGGACTATCCTGTGACGTCCACTTCGCAGGGCACTTACAGTTGAATAGAACAAACGTTTGAAGTGGTAAGAGAAACATACAAAATGCGCAGAGCAGTGGTATGTGAGGACTGGAATTGAGAACCACTGAACGAATACATTTAATGTTAACAAATGTTAATAAAACCTTAAAAATATTGTAAAGTGTTAATAATCTTTTGCAGCAATAAAAAAAGCCATCTATGTATTTGTAATTTGGTGGTTTGTTCAAAGATCCATTGAAAAAAAAAAAATGCCCCAAACAACAAAGAAAACCGGGATAAATGAAATTGTATTAATACTATAATTTTATTTAAAAAAAAAAAAAAAGTTTCCTTGGCATCTCAGCACAATTTTACAGTCTTAAAAAGCACTCCATAAAATACACCGACACTTAAGTAGCAATGGAAAGTCTATTCTCTGAAAGAGCATAATTAGAAATTCATCTACTCTAAAATTCAAGCTAAAACTTGAGAAATGAGCAGTCCACTGTTTATCTTCAAGTTAAAAGTGAATTCTGATATCAGGAAAATGTCTCAATGTCCTCATGGCAAGCTATCATCAAGATTACTCAGCAAGCGGGACTGCATATGGGTCACAATGCTTCTCATCATTCCACTCAGATGTTCGTGCATCAGGCCCAGCTGGTTGGGTGAACAGCGACCAAGTTCCTCTGAAGTTAGGCATCCACTAAGGGCTACAACATCTGATAGCAAATCACAAGATTTGTTCTCCTCAGCCATCAGTTCTGAATCTACACTCACCTCTGATGGTTTGTCATCTGCAAAAAGTTGGGAGTCACGAGTTATGCTGAATGTGTCACCAATGATGGATTTGACAGAAGGAAAAAAAAAAATTGCTTACCTTGAGCCTCTCCTGGGGTTTGCTCCTCATCTTGGTTTTGAGGAAGCTCCATCTCTTCAGGCTCAGATGTCATTTTCTCCATTTCGTCAAAACTCTTCAGGTCATCCGAACGCCCTTTTCTCTGTATGGCCAAATGTGAAGTGTAAGAATGATCTCCCATAATAAAGGCGAAGATACTAATGTAAAGACGATGCACAATACCTGTTGGTCATGATAGGTTTTAAGTGCTTTCCTCACATTGGACAGCTTAGGTGAACGAATAGGAAGAGACTTGATTTCACTTGGGGTAAGGGCACTCAGGTCTCCAACCGTTTTAATGTTTCTAGCTCTAACGAGCTGGCCAAAGCCACGAGGCCTAAATACACAATGGAATAAAAACGCATACCAATTAATTACATTCTTAACATTAACACCCCAGAAAACAACCTTCAGATCGGTGTTGAAATCAATTTATGAGAAGAAATAACTTGTACGGTTTGGGTGAAGAAGAAATGGTACGTGTGTGCTACCATTGAGAGATCTCAGCTGCACCATTCAATCAATACTTAAATGTATTTGGAGTTCACAAGGTCAGAACATTTTTAGAGGATTTAAATTAAAACTGAGGAATGAATTTAATGAACTGAACCCAAGCTGTACTGCAGGGGAAATGGGTGATCTGGCTTACCACATGTTGGAGGATATCTGTGGTAACACAGCCTCTATAGGGGTAGAGCAGCCAACGAGTGCTGGATAAACACAATCTTTAGCAATAGGACGTGGCTCCTGGCTCATTTCGGAAATCTATGATGTATAAAGAGGAACATTTTAACACCATTTGCACTTGGAGCTACTGTTCAAATAAACTAAAGTCTGATGAAACTGAATAACATGAACAGTATTGAACATTAACAACTTTAGCAGTCTTAAAGCAGCACTATGTAACTTTTTCTCTGTTAAAAATTTGCAAAATGTATATAATGAGCGAGTACATGAATTCATCTTCCAAACTGCGTTTTTGTCTTATTCCGAATCACTACGGTACACTTATAATAAGTACTTATATTTGGACTATTGTAGCCTGGTCGAGTCGTCACCGCTGCGGAGTAACACATACCTGCGTGAATCGCCATAGACAAACTTATGGCGCTTTTCCACTGCGTGGTATGACTCGGCGCAGCGCGGCGCGGCACGGCTCGGTTTGCGTTTCCACTGCAGTTTAGTATCGCTTTAGAATGGGCGGGATTATTCACATGTCGTTATAGTTGCGCTGCCTATACTGCCGCGACTCCTGAAAAACTTTTTCATTCCGCGTCGCCCTACCAATTTACTCTAGCAGAGGATAAAACTTTAAAATCCTCAAGTAACCTTAATAAAATCTCTATATCTTTTTGATTATTGAGCATAACAATCACATCATAAATGAACATTACAGTTAAAACCAGGTATATGCACACCATTCAAATTAAATCTTATCTGCTGCAATAGAGGTTCAGTGGCTATTGAGTAGAGCATTCCCGACAAAGAACACCCTTGTCTGACACCTCTACCAACCTTGAAAGGAGTGCATAAGCCACCGTTCACTTTCAGCAGACTCTCAACATCAGTGTACAGGACTCTGATCTTACTCACAAACGTAAAATGTTTTAATTTACTCCTTTAAAGTAGCACTATGTAACTTTTTCTGTGTTTAAAATTTGCAAAATGTATATAATGAGCGAGTACATGAATTCATCTTCCAAACCGCGTTTTTGTCTTATTCCGAATCACTACGGTACACTTATAATAAGTACTTATATTTGGACTATTGTAGCCTGGTCGAGTCGTCACCGCTGCGGAGTAACACATACCTGCGTGAATCGCCATAGACAAACTTATGGCGCTTTTCCACTGCGTGGTATGACTCGGCGCAGCGCGGCGCGGCACGGCTCGGTTTGCGTTTCCACTGCAGTTTAGTATCGCTTTAGAATGGGCGGGATTATTCACATGTCGTTATAGTTGCGCTGCCTATACTGCCGCGACTCCTGAAAAACTTTTTCATTCCGCGTCAATAGCCTTTTGTGGGTGTAGTGATATACTGTAATGAAATTGAAGAAATTTAACAATAACCCATGAAAAGTTTAAATTGAATCACAGTTTTATATCCAAGACGTAATAATTTAAAAACTAGTATCACACACCTTCGACTGCCCACTCAAGACTTTTGACCTAGGCGAGCTTGTGCGAATAACTGGACTACGTCGATCAATATCATCAGCCAGTTCTTGATGATAAATTGGAGTTGCAAAAGACACTCGACGAGACTGCAAAAAAAATTAATAAATA